GTATCATCTGCATATCTCAGGTTGTTAATGATTCTTCCTCCAATCCTGATACCACGTTTTTCTTCATACAGTTCAGCTTCTCGGATTGTTTGCTCAGCATATAGATTGAATAAGTGTGGAGAAAGAATACAACCCTGACGCACTCCCTTCTTGATTTTAAACCATGTAGGGTGTCCTCTTATTTCCTAATACTATTATGGTGGTCATATATCCTTCCCGTATATCTCTCCCCCTACCCATGTCAGTGTGTAGGCCTCAGCTAGCCCAAAATTAATCCCTCCCCTTCCCTCCCCATCCCAGTAACCTATTAGGTGAGTTCCCTTTCCCAAGCAAACCCTTCTCTGTCTTTTTACACTAATGGGCTCATACAGTACTTGTTCTTCTGCAATTGACTTATTTCACTCAGCATAATGTCCTCCAGGTTCATCCACTTTGTGAGATGATTCGCGTATCCCTCATTGTTCTTTAATGTGGCATAGTATTCCATTGTGTGGATATTCCATAATTTGGTTATCCACTCATCCATAAATGGGCATTTAGGTTGATTCGATCTCTTTGCTATGGTGAATTGTACTGCGATGAACATAGGTATACATATGTCTGTTCGTGTGCTATCTCTCACCTCTTTAGGATATATTACTAGTAATGGAATTGCTGGGTCAAATGGTACTTCTATTTTCAGTTTTTTAAGGAAATGCCATACCGTTTGCCACAATGGTTGTACCGTTTCACAATCCCACCAGCAGCGCACAAGAGTTCCAATATCTCCACAACCTTGCCAGCATTTGCCACTATCTGATGTTGGACTTTGCCATTATTGCTGGGGTGAGATGATATCTCCTTGTTGTTTTGATTTGGGCAATCCTACTTCCGTAGTGATAACTGCCTTGGAAACCCAAGGAGAGGTCGCTAGGAGTCGGGGCCAACTCGATGGCAAAATAACAACAACAACAACAATGATTAATGATCATGAGCAATTTCTCATGTGTTTGTTGGCTGCCTGTATATCTTCTTTGGTGAAGTGTCTGTTCAAGGCTTTTGCCCATTTGTTAATTATGTTATTTGTCTTTTTGGTGTTGAGGTGTTGAAGTTTTCTGTAGATTTTGG